AAATTGAAAACAATACACGCAGTGCATCAATTTGTCCCATATGCTAAATCTAGCTTGGCTATCTGGGACTAGATAATGGGACAAATTTTGTTGGAGCTCGCAATTTACTCCGCAAAGTCGATTGGAACAAAATCAAACAATTTAGTACAACGCAGAAAATAGATTGGCGCCTCAATCCTCCATTAGCTCCTTGGTGGGGAGGATGGTGGGAGCGTCTGATTAGAATAACCAAAGACTTGCTCAAGAAAACGCTAAAAAGAGCTTGTCTTTCTTAGAAGAAATGACTACGATCCTGTGTGATTGCGAAGCCATCATTAACTCACGTCCTCTAGGATACTTAGGAGACGATCCGACGCAATTGAAGCCTCTGACACCGATGCATTTTTTGCAAGAAATTTCGCAAAATGAAGTACCTGATTTGGACAGGTTGGAAGTTAATTTGAATAAACGAATGCGATATCGCCAAAGTTTGCGAAATGACTTACGTAAACGCTTTCGTTCCGAGTACCTGGGTCAGTTATCTCGCAGAAACAAAAACAACAGTACTCTAATAAAAGAAGGAGATATTGTGCTGTTAGGTCAAGATAATTTGAAACGTTTAGACTGGCCATTAGCTCGGGTGATTAAGGTGTTCCCAGGCAAGGATTGCGTTGTACGAGTAGTCAAAGTAAAGACTGCATCCGGAGAGGTGGTGCGACCAGTTCAACGGCTGTATCCACTGGAGATATGTACAAATACAGCAAGGGCGACTGAACAAAGTACGGATACAACCGAGCGAATCCAAGATGTGGAACAGGACACAATCGAGCGAATTAAGGATATGGAGCAGCAACCTGCCACGCTAGACACTGTAAAAGAAGTCCGAACCAGGAGTAGTAGACATGTAAAGACTCCAAAGAAATTCGAATTTTAAAATTATTTTTTATTTTTCCTTTTTCTTTCAGAATAATCGTTAAACTTAATGACGTTGTCTTATTTCAATTTGTTTTAAGTTGAGTTCCTCCCGTTACTCAAGGTGGGAGAAATGTTACAAACCGATATCTAGCGTCGATAATAATTTACCATACCGGCGCGCCTTACGTCCTTTTTGAGAACTTTTTCGTCAAGTAGATTCAGATTTTTATTGCTGTTATAGAACACACAACTTTGTGAAATAAATAGAGTTTTTCCAGAGCAAATCTAACGTTATCATTCTCGTTTTCCTTACGCTACAACAATCCGCATTGTTACAGTCTGCCTGCGGTTTGAAATCAAATGAATTGAAGATTTTGAAGGACTCTTTTATTTATTAATAATTAACTCGTTAAATAGGGCGAATAAGAATCAAATTACAATTTGAAATCTAAATCTGATAATTTATTCTAAT